TATATATATATATATATACACATACATACATACATACATACATACATACATACATACATACATACATATATATATATATATATATACATACAGTATATATATATATATATATATACATACAGTATATATACATATGTGTGTGTATGTAATGCAATCAGGCATGATCTCATTTTCTGCTTGATTTGGGGGTTTATTAACACAATACACAGTGACTGAGGAAGCACAGGTGATCAACTTTAATCAACTTGCCACAGAATGTTTTGAAATTATATCATTTTAAAAGTGAAAAGAACGCTGCACAACAAACAGGGCAAAGACACTAAAAACAAAATAAATGCCTTGCCTGGAGGCGGCTATTTTAGAACTCAGACAGTCAAAAAGTTCCCAAGACAACTCAATCCAATTCAAGCCTTCTTACATTCCACACATCGCCATGCGCTGCCTATTAAAAGGGAGAACATAAGGAGTCTTTTAAAGTAAGTGTTTACCCATCACAAGGTCCTCTTGATAGAGATCATAAGGCGTTGGAAGGGGAGCGCCCAAGAGATGTTCAGGAACTACGTCCATTGTGCACACCAATAACTTCATTACTGCAAATACCCAGATTAACATAATGGTGCTAACATGGTTAACGGTAATCTAACTCTCCTAATTTATACAATCTGTTTGAAAGTAAAATAATGACCAAGTCGGTGTGTGGCAGGCAGCTTAAAAGGGAAGGATTGGAACACCAGATTTATTTTTTGGCCCAAAAAACAAGTACCATTTGTCTGTGAGTAGGGATGGGATGGTGTAGGATTGTATTGCTGATTGCAATAATAAAAAACAACTCACAATTGTGCTGAATCTCTATTATCAGGATAATCGGCAATATCGACATGAGTGACTTGAAGAAGCAGGCTAGCTATCACAGGTGAGTGCCGAGCGGGAAACGTATCCATTTTAACAACGGACGTTACTAAGACGTTACGTTGTGTAGCTTTAAAGATCATTTTATGTTGTTGACAGGTGCAGCATCAACAGTCATGTTAGTTTTGCATTTGCACAGAGTGGATTGAGGAGCACATTAGCAGAGAAGATGATGTACGAAAAGACAGCAACTTATAGATATTCCTCTAAATCAAAACACATTTCAGTTTTTGAGACTCATCAAGTGTTATTGAAGACGGTATGAAATGAAAAACAGAATGTTAGAAAGACGCACATTTTTGGCAGCAATTGTTTCTGAAGCAAATTTACTTCCTTGTTGTGCCTCCCCCACAGACCGATAAAAGCTCTCATAACCCATCCGACAGAGTACAGGATGAAGCCTTCTGATGTAACAGAAGCAAGAGCTGCCTGCCAGCCACACACACACACACACACACACACACACACACACACTAAAACACACCTGCCCCTTCATGCATACTTAACCAATATGGCCAGATCTAACAGCCAATCAGTCTTTGGTGGTAATAAACGTCAGTCCCTTTGGCCACATGAGGTCAATAACTATGAGTGAGGTCAACTTCACCTCTGCACATAAAGTGTTCTCGTCTGCACAAATTAACCACATGGCCTCGCTTTACTGCCACACTTCAGCCATATAAATTGCACCTTCCTAGTGTTCCACTTCCCTCTGTAATATAATCAGTGCATTAAATGGCGTATGAGTGGAGAGGACTACCGTAAATCACAACCACATTGATTGTGACCCTTTTTCTGAGCTAAACCATAAAACTGTATCTGTTCTGCGCTCTTTTAATCAGGTTTTTGATCATCCTGCTTCTGTGTTTATTTATGTATTTACTTGTATATTTGGAAGGGACACGCACCGAGAAACATCGACAGCTGCAGAAGCAGTGCCCAATGTACTGCACACATGCATGTAGCTAAAGCTAACTTTGATGCGCACCTCTCTCTTGCACTTACTGTGTTGTTGTTTTTATGTACCTGATTTTTATTAGCATCTTTCCTACAACCTACTGGCAATAACGTGTAGTATCAATGTTGCAAACACAATTTAATCTTAAATGTGACAAAAGCAGCACTGTCTTCTGGATAGAAAACACAGGGCCAGTAGTTGTGAGAGAGCGTTGTCCATTCTATAGATGGAACTCCCTACTGCTCTATCTTTTGAAGCTCTTTGAAGTATTGCCACTAGTGGTGGTAGTAATGGCAGCACTGATTCATCTTGATGAATGAGAGCCACTAGGCGTTAGTTGTTTTTTTATGGATTATGTCTGTGCTAAAAAATATTTCGGAGGGTGCACAAAGACGGGGCTCTACAGCAACACTAGAGCTGGAGATGGATACAGTGAGAAGGAACTGAACCTCAACTTACTGCAGATGAAGAAGTAGACGGCCGTCCGGGTGAGCAGGACGGGGCTCCGAGCCAGGGAGCTGACCAATCCACAGATCCCACCGAACAGCAACAGGACCAGGCTGAAGGGAAGCACCACCACTATTGCACTGTGCATGCCTATGTGTGCGCGCACACACACAAAACAGATGGATTAGTAGAGTTGTGGCTGTTTTGACATTGGAACTTCATTAGCAGTATGTGTTAAGATGAGCTAAACTGAAGGAGAGACTCACTCCGCTCAATCTCAGAGTACCTAGAGTAGTCAGCTGTATAGGAGTCAGCGTCTGCCGTCATCTTTCCACCTGGATGTCACAATAAAATGCATCCAAGTTTTGTACATACCAGTATTTGGGATAATTATTTAACTGATTATGAGAGAGAGAGTTGTGGGAAATTTGGCCTACCTTCGTTGATGCTCCACAGTCCCGAGTGGGAGCTCAAGTCCTCAAAGTCGCTCGTATTCATAGGATTCATCTCGATTATGTACCAATATTTGGTTCCGAGGGAAGTCGCCAAAGAAGCGAAGCTCAAAATACCGCAGATGCCGGCTGTGATCACCAGAGAGCCAAAGGTAACCTTCATCCCTAACGAGTGATGGTGGAATTCACGCGTAACGGTGATGGCTTAAACTCATGCGTAACGCGGATTTTCTAGTGTTGATCCGGTGTTTCGAACGTTGACCCGCTCATTGCGAGATGCGCAAATAAATCCCGACAATGGTGTTGAGGTTATGCTGCAGAGCTATTAATTGAAATCTAAAGGCGAAGATGGAGGTGAACTTGTCCCTGACTGACTGAAGGAAGTCACAGAGCTGCACAAGAGTACCCTCACTGAACAGCAGCAGCTTCTGTCTGGGAGGGACTTGAATATTAGGGCGGCGTTTACGCAGCGAGAGTCTACAGCCAGCTGTGTTATAACAAAATAAAAAAAGAGTGAGAATAAGGATAATATATTTGAAAATTGTATACGGAGTTGGTGAACGAGCACCACTGAACAGATCAAGCCAAGAATACCAGCACCGAGGTGTCATAGTAAAATAAAGCCAGTTTGAGTGAATGGGGTTGTACAGCTTTCCTCCGGCTGGTTTAATATATTTTCAGACATTAGTACATTTCCCATCTGAATCCCCCCTCAAATAACGAACACGGGTAACTAGAAAGAACAAGTTTAATGATAAAAACAGATAGCATGACAACAGAAAAACGTTAAACACGAAGACATAAAAGGAAACATGGAAATAACTTCAGCCAGCAATTAATCTCTCACACAGCACCCATCTCATTCATCTGCTCTATTATCGTGTCACTCTTCCCCCATGGCTGTCTTGATGAGATCTGCTCTTCTCAATTTGGCTGCCTCTTCAAACTTGGTGATGACCTCGTTACAGGATTTGTTCTGCGAGTAGAGGGAATGAAATCTGGATGAGACATAATGTTCTCACAGGAAGCTCGTAACATTTCAGAGATGGGAGCCTTGCTGCACAATTAACTCTCGTTTAAGACATGTAAGGAAAAAAACAAAAGGTAAAAGAACGGATTGGAAAAGCATGTTGGCAGGTACACGGTTTAATCCAACAGTCAATTTATTAAATGATGTAAGTCGGTAATTTGAAATGTATGGAGTTCCCTGAACAACGTACAATGATTGACTTGCGCCTCTCCTTCTGTAGTTTGAAGAATTCCTCCACAGTCAGCTCTTCTACTTCCTTCTTCAGGGCGATGAACTGGCAGGCCGGTGAATGAGATGCGTGCTCCTTCCTACCAACAAAAGAAAGTGGAGTGAGGGGGAGACAAATATCTCATTTCAAGGAACATGTGCAAAATGCGCGCGCACACACACACGCGCACACACACACCCCCACCCACCCACCCACCCACCCACCCACACACACACACACACGGAAGGAATGGACATCGTAACACGCACTGTACTCTAACAACATCATAAAAATGTTTATAAAAAAATAAATTGTTAAGGTTTCTGCTTAGAAATTAAGAGTCTGGTTACCAATACAAGTCTGCTTGCTGTGGAGAAGACAGCTGGTAAAACACTAACACTGAATTATACACACCACATACTGTTAAGTTCACCAACAGTGATTTCACATTTCCATTTCAATGACCATCAATATAAATTGAATATTTACAGAGTTAAAGAGTTCACAGTTAATGCCTGAAGTGTTGATTCATCAGTCAAGGACACTGCAAAATGATGCAACACACCGAGGAGGAACGTCTTGTGGATTATAACATCTTATACAACAAGTGAACATTTTAACTGGAAATGGAGCAGAGGTCAAAAGTAAACTCTCACACACCAAAGAGAGGACAGTTAAAAAAGGACATGTGCTTTGCAACATGTTGAACTACAGCCTCAAATATGAATGTTAAGAGCTCTTAGTCTAGGCTTAGACATTTTTAATTTTTAAATTGTCGGTTATTTTGTCCATTGCTTCTATCACCGCATCTCCCACACAGTAAGATTTTGTTACCAGTCAGCCAAAGAGGGTACGTGTCCCTGGGTTGAGAAAACTGCCTTAAAAATGTGTGCATGTCAAATCATTTGGTGGTCATTTACACACATATTTGGCCAGTCAGTTTCAAAGTTTGTAAAGGCAATCTGCAGATTCGACACATTTAAGATCAGTTTAACATGAACTGCAAAAACAGTTTGTGTTTCTGAAGTCGAAGAAAATAGCCTTGATGATGTCTTGGAGACTTAAACGTATTAAACACAAAGTCTGTGTTATAAACATAGAGTTTAAAAGACTTGGCTGTTTACCAGGCATGTCTAAAAAAATAAAAAAGGGGGGAAAAAGAGATAATATTGCATTACCTTATGGGAAATTAAGGGATCTAGTGTTTTTGGAGCTTGACCCATAATAAGGAAAAAAAGGTTGAGGTATCTTTGCCTATGACCATAGTCTCTCAAACGCCTTTAACTTTATGGAAGTGCAATATAAAATCACCAGAGTGCCACTTTAACCATATGCATGTATCAAATAATTTCACTTTGCAACCTACTTTATTATTTAGCTATATGGTTTCTGAATTTATCTTGTGCTATTGTTTGCCGTGAGCTATTTATCTTGCTATTTGTCCTTGCCGAGTCATATATTACATTTCTCTATAGAATTAGACTACTTAGAAAAATACGATGAACTTAAATTGATAAAGAATGGAAGCTGCATAAATCTGCTGTCATGCTATTGGCATGTCTGACTCATGGGCCTAATGATGTGATTCTCTTACTGTGGGTCGTCCTCTGGCTCCCACCCTTCCAGCTCTTTGAGGCAGAAGAAACACATCGCGATGTCTGGGCTGTTCCCTGAAGGGGTGTGAATGAAGCCAGCTTTGGCCATCTGGAGAAACAAATGAACAAACAGACCACATGAATACAAATGATATTTGTTGTAGCTGTATAAGGTGAAATGGTGAGTTGATAGACAGAAATATTAATCAACAATCACTTAGTTGTTCAATAAAGGTTTTTATTACGAAACAAAAATGTCCTAAACAGAAACAATAAGCAGAATAACAGTAGATACACAGAACATGTGTCAATTAACTATTAATTCATTAACTATTTTGATAATTGATTAATCGGTTAAGTCACTTTCCAAGCTACCACTAGTTAGCTACATTAACTAAAACCAGTGAAATCTAACGTAACACTATTCAAATCCTGTGCCTAAGCTCCAAAGCATGCAGGTATTCCTTCAAAACACTTTTAATGATACATTTGACCACTATTATTAACGGTTTTCTTACTTTAGCTAGAGCTAGCTGACTTTTACTTGTTGTGTTTAGCTTAGCTAGCTAGTAGCCGTGTAGCCAAAGTCAAACAGTTTAAACGTCCACTCACGTTCTCCGGGGTACACGAGCAGTCTTCGTCAAACGGCCACCCCTCGAATGTTTTCAGTCTGTTCTCATAAAAATACATTTTGATATCCTCTTCGTTTATCAGCTCCATTGTATAAAGCGTTAATACAGTCAGTGGTTTTACCAACCGCAGACACCGAGCTAAAGGGTGTTTTCAAATTTCGGCAAATGTTTAGGTCGAGTATTTTTGATTGGTTGATGAAGACCACGAGCGTCACGTATTTTCTTCTTCGTGGATCACCCGATCGGCGTTTTCATGAAATATGCACAGGTACGCCACCTAGTGTTGCTGCGAGCAACTTTTACCGTCAACTTTTACTGGCGCTGAAACAAAAACGAACAATCTACACTTTAATTGTTTTTAGAAGAATACATAACACATTTCTATTCTCTCACCCTCTTCCTTGTATCCACAAAGAAGAATCAACACCAAACCCACATCCACCGTCTGACATCAGCCTTCCGTTTGTGTGTCATGGGTAATGTAGTTTTGGCTGTTATTGGTTTAAACCGCGACGCGCGGAATTTTGTGAGGGCGTCCCGTCGTCCCATCCTCTGTCAACAACCGGCCCAGGAGCAGCGCTTCCTGTTTTGCCACACATGTTCCGTCGTACTGTCTCTCACTAAGATAACAGTGTGCTTAACGTCACATATGCAGACTAGTCCGTTTTTTCGTCTTCTTCTTCGGTGTTTTGGGTATGGAAGGACGGTGTGCTGTTGAGACTTGGGCAGAGTTTGGCTTTTCAGGAACATCATGCACACCGAGGCTCAAGTTTGGTTTTGGTACAGATGTGTTCCTCTGCACTGGCAACGACGAGGTCTATGTCTTCAGTTCTCAGGACAGAAAACTCACAGTAATATACCTCACACTGCACACTGATCAGGCATCACAAGTAAACTGCAAAGCTAGGTAACATTGCTGTCTACATTTTCTGTGATTGTGTGTTGTTGCAGGCTGTCATCGAGTGTCCTGCTCCTGTGACGGACCTAGTTGAGAGTCATGACAAGCAGTTCCTCTATGTAGCCTCTAGAAGCGGAGTTTATTGTGTCAGCTTACAATCTCTGCCATCCAGGTATGAGCCCTCATGTAGGTGGTCGAAAAATGTGTTCCTCTGGTGCATATGTAGTCCAAGTACATGAATAATTGCCCATTTGTACTATAAAATTGGTTATGTTTAATCTTGTCAATGCCTCTTCCTTATGGGACCTTTCACCTCCGCAGAGCTCAAAGCTCCCCAGCTGACGCGTCCTCCGGTCCAGCCGAACTGAAAATGTCCACTGAGTTTCTTGCTGTTGCAGAAGAAGGAGTGTTATCGCTGCTCCTCGTCGGCTCTGTCCTCCTGACTCTTTCTCAGAGAGACACGTCCTGGGTTTTGACTTTGTACAGATCCTCAAACTATGAGATGCTCAGTTCATTCAGTCTACCACTGGTCTCAGGAGATGTACACAATGAGGCGGAGGGAAAGACGGGAATGAGAAGGAGGCCTCTGCTGACTTGTGTCCATTCTAGTGTTGCAACGCCGCCATCTTCTCCCTCCACTTCTTCAACTGCAAGTGGCGGCCACTTATGCCTCGAACCGGTCCTCTTCAAACTTCTGTTTGGGATCGACGCCGCCCTCGCCAAGTCACCAGTCATCCTATGTGGCCTGCCAGACGGGCGCCTGTGTTTTCTTCCTCTGCGTCCCCCAGGATCGCGGCTCAGAGTCCTCCACAGCCTCGAGCAGCCAGTCGTATTTGTTGGAGCATCTGGTGTCATGGAAACTGGTCCAGGACACGCACGGTGTTTGGTGGCAGTGGGCGAACAAGGGAGAGTGGTGTTGATAAAATCAGACAAGGGAGGGTCGGAGGGAGGGGGCAACAGGACGGTTTTTATTGAGGGCTGTGTACCGGGGCCTGTGATGTGTGGCTGTGTGGATAAAAAGCGTCTTTACTACAGCACCGGGTCAGACCTGCTGCTACTGGACCTATCAGAGGTATCATCTGAGGGAGAAGGCCAACAGAGGGATGTAGGGACATCCAGTATGACAGACGCTGCCCTCCAAAGCCCCACGAGTTTGAATGTGTGCAGAGTCGTCGCCTTGGCTGAGCCTACATGCAACACTGCAGGTAAGCAGGCCTAGCACGGAGGTGTTGGACTTTACAAATGCCTACCTTAAGACAAATTCCCTCTGGCAGCTACTGCTTTCAGTAAACACCGCTGTATGTAATGTATTGCTTTTACATACAAGGGGAAGTTCAGCTGCTGGGACTGTCTGTTAGAGGGCAGCTCCAGAGGATGACCTTACCTGTGGAAAGAGAGGATGCAAGATTGCCCACGGTGCCTTCCACAAAGGGGGGCCGCAGCGTCAGGGACCTCCTGTCCGCTATCGGGGACGTCTGTGAAAGGTATACCCAACACAGTACACATTTGATGGAGTTAATATTATGTTTCTGTTGATGTAAATGTGATTCTTCTTTGCTTTCCTTCAGAGCATCCCTGCTGAAAACTGCCATCAAATCCAAAAACCAAATTCTGCGGCACCTGAATCAGGTGCTGAACATCAGCTTCCTGCTGATAGCCAGCACAAATACCGAAGAGCCTCTTCCCATCCAGGAGAAGCCAATCAGATGTCACGCCATGGCCGGTTGGAGCAGATTACTTCAGACAGACTCCCTGAACCTGACATGTGTCCTGGATAATTCAAGTCCTTATGTTTTGGAACGAGGCTGGACGCTGAGCATCGGCGTGTTTCCTCTGTCCTGTCCTCCCGGAGCAGGAGGGGAAAGCTCCTCCACAAATTTCTCTTTCCCGTTCCACAATCTCCATCCAGGTGAGACGTTGGAAGTATCGCTGCCCCTAGCAGCTGCAGGTGAAGCATCCTTCCCCATGACAGTCAGCTGCTCGCTCATCTTCTCACTCACCGGCCTCCTGGGCGAGGAGGCCGCAAACCTCCCTGGTCTGCAGGACAGTTGCGTCAGTTTGCCGTTGAACACGCTGACAGTGGATTGGCTGCACGCCCTGCAGGTGACCGGTCCCATCGCGACCCATAGAAAGGCCGCATCTCGACCCAGGGACACGACAGACCCCATCCAAGCTTTTTTGAGATCACGCCGGATTGGCCGCGGTGGAAGAGGAGAGGGAGGAGGAGAGACTGAGCGAGAGCAGCATGCGGCAAGCGTTCGGGTGTCGTCGGAGTTACTGAGGGACACGCTGGTGTGGAAAGGCTCAGATTTGGACGCTCAGGGGCGCTCAAAGGTGGCTCCTCAAAATGTGGGCCTCTCTCTGCTGGAGTGGCTGTTGTCCGAGGCTCCTGGAGGCGTCGCAGCGGAACGCCATGGAGACAAGATCGCACTCAGCGGCTCAGTGGTCCACGCGCAAGATCCAAACGGACACACAGTCAAACTGACTGCAAAAGAGGTAAAGAATGATCGAATGTCGTATTGATTAAGGTTTCTTTTTATCTTGTGTAACTTCAATGAAAGTGTTGCTCCTTTGTTCTCCAGGTAGATGTAGGGGAGGAGGAGTCCCTGGCCGCAGTGGAGGTTCAGGTTGAGAGCTCATCTATAGCAGCAGTGTGTGGACTGCATCATGCTGTGCTGCGCCGGATTCAGGTACAAACACACATTTTTAGAGAAACTTACAGTAGCGGAGTTTTGTCTGACATTTGCAACTTTTTATACTTGGCAGCGACATGTTTGTTTTTTTCGAGGAGGATATAACTGGTTACTGAAAACTGCTGCATTGCCAGTCTTTCACCAGTTCACAACACAGCATTATAGAAAGACTAATCAGTGATACAATCAAACATGTTAGTTGTGGCACTTGGATTGTATTCGAGAGAAACCTAAATCATTCCCTTACACAATCACAATGATGAGACTGGAGCTGAAACCAGACGGCACAACTACCGCTGATTATTCCGGACTGATGCCAGATCAGATACATTGTCCCGCTCCGTTTCTTCACACAGGCTCTGTTGCAGATGGCTCCCGAGAGGGCTGCTTCTACAAAGAGCATCCAGAGTTTAGGTTTACGACAGGCTCTGCAGCGGGCCGAGGTGAGACCTATACCTGCTTCATTTTGTCGATTTTGCGTCGTCTAAGATTGATGTTAACATTAAATTATCTTTGTGGTATTTCTTTGTTAATCAGCGCCTGCTGCAGCAGATCCGACAAAGTCGAATCTCAGGGGCTTTCGGTGTGGGCGTGTCCACGGGGCAGATGAGCCAATCGCTTCTCAGTGTTTACCAAGAACTCAGAGAAAACCCTCTCCTTATAATTTAACACTTTGAGCCCACGCAGCTGCCCTCTGCCTCCTCCAATGTTACGTAACCTGTCTTCACAGCTGATGCACAACTAATAATGTCAATCAATGTGCTTTTACATCACAGTAAATGTATATTTTACACAAAGAAGCATTTATGATTCATTATTTTGCTGCTGTACATCACCTAAGTCTTTTGCTTCAACTCAACCGCACTGTACAAACCGTTACATTCAACTCAAGGTGTCTGTAGAGCTCAGGTGGAATAAAAATATGTCTAAATGGGTAAACTCTGTCTTGCAGCTGGTTGAAGGTTGCCGTTTCACAATATCAAAAAGTGTCAGACATGTAGGTGTAACATTGACACATGATATGATTGCAGAGGTTTGATGATGCATTGCTGATGGCCAAAAAGAATAAAGAAAATAAGTGTATTCATTTGAATAAAGCTTGTAATCTTCCTAAGAGATTGTCCAAGTGTACATCAAGTCTTGATTCTGGACTAGACAAGACAGGAGGGATCGGTGATTTTTTCTTAATCTGCAATGTAGTATTTGTACATTGAGGAAAGCATCTCAATAAGTCTTCCACCATTGGACTGTAAGCATGGATGGATTACTGAACGGGCCTACTGGGCACAGACCCCCCCCCCCCCCCCAGCTTTCATCTACAAAATGTCACACAAAGAGACACAAAAAGACTAGAAGACCAAAACAACTACAAAGAGATGCAAAAACAACAAGGACTATATCACTACGACTATAAAAAAGGGGGAAAAACAACCACAAATGGACACAAAGCAACAACAAAGAGACACAAAATGTCTACAAAGAGACACAAAACGACTACAATAAGGGGAAAACAACCACAGACAAAAAAAATTACAAAGAGACACAAAACCACAGGGGGATTCGTAAGGACTACAAAGAGTCACAAAAGAGGGTAAACAACTATAAAGTGTGTGTGTGTGTGTGTGTGTGTGTGTCTTGCTCCTATGTAGGACATGTCCCGAATATGGATATGTTTGGTGAGCAGGTCAACCAAAGAGCAATGTTTCCTTCTCAGACTGTATTATTTGAAGGTGTTTCACAGGCATACGCTTTAAAAAGCTCCAGTCTTTTGTGTTACTGATGTCTAGGACGCTTGCACACATGTAGTTCAGTTAATGTGGTCAGGACCAAGGTTAACAATGATACAACGTTGTAATTTAGTTCTGGTCCGGTTCATGTTCACACTGGCTTTTTACCAACAGACCATGAGGAGGAAACAAGTAGTTATACAGACATTTGATTTGCCCACGTGGGTCCTTGACATTACTAAAACAAAATATAACCAGTCATAGAAGTGTATTTTTCATCTTTATGTTCATAAAAGACAGAAGAAATGTAGAAAAACAAAAACAGAGAGACAAATGCAAAATCCAACCCCTGCCAGTTGCTTCCTATTAGTAATGCCGCCATGTACACGAGTCTTGGTTACAGTCTAGCTTCTGGAAACCCAATCATTCTTCTCTCCTAATAAACATCCTCAGACAGCGGTGCCATGCTAATGACTGCCTTACTGGTAATGGTGACCATGTCTGTCTCACGTGGCCCCCTGATTCATGTGCTTCTTAGACTGGGTGAGCATCATCATTCCACACCTGCATTTAGCACTTTGTTGCCTTGCTGTCAATAACGTAGTAGCTGTCAAGGCATTGGTAGAAAAAGTTTGGAAGATGAAGAAGAGGAGAAAGATGATACCCAGAAAAGATGGGGTTTGCATCTGCAGGGGTTCAAGGACATTGAGAAATCTACACGTCATTATTGAAAGGAGCGCATTGAAAAAACAATCGCAAGGAACAACACAAAAACTTGAATGTTCATTCACACTAACTGTCTGCTGTTCACTCAAGACTTATCTTGGCTGAGTTTGGTCAGTTCGTGTTGCACTTTCTCCTGTCGTGTGAGGCAATTATCTGTTGTGAGGTCTCTGTTGTGACCCCTTTGTAACAAGAAGGTGAAAGAAAAGTGGGATAAAATCAGGTCAGGCTGGAACTCGTCTCTGATGAGCAGCCGTCTTTCTCTAGATGAAGCATTGATTGGTGTTGGGGACTAATATTGGATTGTGTTAATACTCCCACAGGGCTGATCTGCTCAGGCTGAGTCCGTCTCCCTTCAGCGTGCCTCCCTGGTCTCCACGCAGGTATCTGCCGTTCTTGTCACGGATGGCGAGGCGACCCTGCTCCAGGAGCTCCAGGGTGAAGTCCTCAGGGGCCTCGCCGTCTGAGCACACCAGTCCGGCGCTGTTCACGTACCAGAACCGACCGTCCACGCCTGCAAGTGTGAACACGCAAAGAGTAGAGCAGCAGCAGAGTGTCAGTGAACTGCACTTGATGTTTTTCGTCGCTGAAACACAGATATGTTTGAGAGAAGGGAGCAACAAAAAAGAAGAAGAAGAAGCAGAGATTAAATCAATCTTGTTTGAGTGGGTACATCCTGACCTTTAATATGGTACGCCCCATTGCTGAATTGCAGGGTGAAAATGTCGTAGACCGATCTGCTGCCGTCCAGTAAGTTGGAGTTCTTGTGGTGGCAGATGAATCCGTTCTCTCCTCTCAGGATCAGCATGGGTCGGTTGATCAGCTTCAAAGTGAGCTGCTCGTCCTCGCCTGACAGAAGGTGACGGGCAAATCATGAAGGCACATCAGAGGGGACCACAAGGGAAGTCAGAGTGAGGAGGTTGATAGAGAAGAACAAAACCTAACATTTTCTTTTTACCTATGGAGTCACTGACAGCCAGCAGCTGGCCGTTCTTCTTGGTGCAGATGTATTTTCCATTGTTAGCCTTTAGTGCCACCCTGTGGCCAAGCCACTCCACTGAAAACATGGTGTTTGCTGACCTGCGTGTGGGCATCACAGGGGAGAACATTAGTCTTTCCTTGCTTTTAAGAGCTTTTGGAAATAATGTGATCGCACATACAAGGTAAAGCAGGTCAACTAAGACAGACTGAAGTTTTTACAAAAATGTAATTTACCAAGATAGGTTTAGGGGGTGAGATCATGTACTCAAACCAGTGACATATCACTATATTCATGCAAACAACTATGCCTATTATTTACATTCTTTCAGTGTTAGTCATCAATAACTTCTATATTCAGTAGATTACATTTTTATGACTGACTTGCATTTTCAATGACACTTTTTTGTGTTCTTTGAGAACGGGTCGGAGACAATGTAGCATTATTCCTCAAATAAATATCTGCAGTTGTGTCATGAAATCCCCTTTAAATTGTATAAAGCATTCATTTACATTTATAACTTGTATGTATCTCCTAACTGTTATGTTTCGATAGTGAGGTAATCATTGAACAGTTCCTTTTGTAGGCCCATATCTGTATATATAATATAAGATATAGAACTGACACATACAATTGATCATGCATCCACTTTTACTCTGCAAAAGTTACATGAGAGCATTCACTCACACTTCAGTGGCAGTAATCTGGATGCCTCCGTGGGCCACCAGATCCCAGTAGTTCCCTTGGCTAGTTCGCAACGTACACTTCCTGGTTTCCTTGTCGATCTCCATCTGAAACGTCTCCATGTCCGTCTCATCTTCCTGATTGGCTGCAAGGCTTACTCCTGGGAGGGCGTAGCAAGCATGCGATGTCATGAATACTTCATCAGTAAAGCTCGAGGGCTATTTAGTGTCTGGAGAAATCCATCCATTCGCCGCTGTTCACAATGTGTTATTGATGGTCACTTTCCATTTCAGTCATTTGTATGTACAGTATGCAATTGCTGCTGAAACTTAAGGAAGCATCAATATACGTGTTCACATAAATACATGGGATTGTACTGAGTGGGTCTAATTTGTTCATAAAATAAATTTCTCTACAGACCTCTTTTTTTCCTTTTTGGATTCTAAGTGCAAGTCGAAAACCAACAATGTAATTTGGGAAAACAGCGTCATAGCAGCTTGCTCATCAGGTTGTATTGTATGTAGGCTGTTTAGGTTGGCCCAGCATGAAAGAGTTGGTAATCACATTTGATCCCGGGATGTTGGGTTATTTTTAAGCGATTATGTCTTCCACTGCACCCTTGCTCTGATGAGCCAAGGATACACTTTCCTGAGGGTAAACACATTTTCACTGATTGATGTTCTGGATGCATTAACAGACAGAATATATATGTAAATCAAATAAATGCACTAATTGTGCCCTTGCAGGAAAATCTTCCAGAGACAAGCGATCGCACACTAAACGTGTAGAATGCATGCTTCTTATAATAAAATGTGCTATACAGAGATAACAGAGATAACACTCTCACCCTGCACGAATGACATCGACTACTTCACAAACCAACATAAAGCACACCGTTGATTGCCAAACACTTTATAGAAAGCACTCAAAAACCAATTAGTATAGCATTTCCATTGCTCACACATCGGAGAGTATTGGTGTCAAACCATGACAAACACAAGACAGTGACATCACTCCCTTTCTGCTTTGATTGGTGGTTTAGTTTCCAACGTCAGAAGGCAGCTTTACTATCAACCACCTCTCTATTTCAGAAGTCCTTTGTGACATTAAAACAAGCCACTGTTATTTTTCAACTGTCAACATTATGATAAATGTTGGCAGAGAAAAAACAATTGCTGGTCAGCACCAAGAGACAGATTGCAGAGAGCCAAATCCCAAATTAGATTAAATTAGATGCATTTCCTTAATCCTTTAACAGCACTGCACTCATGTGTGCTTATCAGCCCCCCCCCCCCC